TATATATTAATTCTTAGGCTATTCCTGGGCTTTCTCAATAGCCTCCCTACTCCTGGAACCTATTTCTAACACTTTTTCAATTCACCCATGAAATCAATGATTTTTTTTTCAGTTGTATACTTAGGTTGTAGGGAAAGTGTTCTAAACTATAAATGTTTGTTTTTCTTTAATAAAAATAAAATTTATAGCTTGATTTTTTTTAAAAGATATTTATTTATTTATTTATGCATGCGAGAACTGGGGTCCAGGCCAGAGATGCAGGGGGTGAGAGTATTCACCAGAGACAGAGTGGGGAACAGAACTCACTCATGCTGCAGAGGCTGCAGTGCTTAACCCCTTGCACCCACAGTGTGGTGCTTAACCCCTTGCACCACCAGGGCTGCCCTATAGCTTGATTTTTGAGCACTATTAAGATCGTGAATGTTTAAATGAAATGAAAATTTTTAGACCATAAACACAAATTTATTTAGCATAGAATCACTGTAAAGTCAATGCTAACCTTTATCTACTGACTATATCATATTTTATGACTCAAGCGAACGTTCATAATAACAAAATAAAACCAAGGCAAAATGCAAAAACACAGGTAAATGGAATAAATGTCCATTTTTAACAGTGCAATTTAGGCTTATGGTCCACTAGCTGAGTTATTTTACTGAAATAAATAAATAAATAAAAGACAGCTATGGTATTTTTTTTGGTAAAGATTTATTTATTTATGCATATAGGAACTGGGATGTAAACCAGAGGTGCTGGGGCTAGGGATAGGAACTGGGATGTAAACCAGAGGTGCTGGGGCTGGAGAACTGGGATGTAAACCAGGTGCCGGGGCTGGGGATGGTGGTTAGAGGATTCACCAGAGAGAGAGAGAGTGGGGTGCAGAACAGACAAATCTACTGAAATACACTGCTGAAGGGAGCAGGGGGAGAGATAGGAGAGGTCTGCTGCACCATGTGGGTTGCTCCCTGCCTGGCCAGGGATCCAGTCAAACTCAATTGCAGTAGCTGGCGATAGGTTGATATGCTGAGACTTTAACCTCTGTGCCACTAGGGAGGCCCCTACTTTGGTGTTTTAAATGGACTTTTAAAATGTCTCACTACTGTGAGTAAAGGTTAAGTACATTCTCTAGAATGCTAATACAGATAAAAATAATTCATTAAGTGGCATCAGAAAATAGTAAGATTCTCTTACAAACATTGAAAAGTCATGGCAAACTAAGCAAGTTCTCAAAATCAAATTACACATGTTTTGTGTATTTGTTTTGTACATAATAATACTCAGTTCAATAGCCCCAATAACATTTCCTAGATAAACACATAATAATGTCAACTAGATGGAATGATTGTTGCCTGCATCTGTATCAAAATAACATTTATTTAACCTAAAAAAATTATCTCATACCATTGATAGGATTCTCTACTTTTTGGGAAATGTAAGCTATTATTAGATATCAGAAAAAAAGCTTCACTGTCAGTATAATAAAATACAATTAAGTCCGCTAAAACTGGAGAAAAGGAGGAGTTGTCTATTATTTAGATTACTGCTATATATTTGCAATGGTTTTATTCTAGATATAATCTAAGTGGGTGAGACTGAGGAGTAAATATTCTATAATAACAAAGTTCCAAATATAAGTAAAACAGACTTCTAGGACATAAGAATGTACTATATTGAGCTTGATAAAATTTAAAGAAAATGGCTGACAATATGTCCTGTATATTGGTTAATTTCATGTTATTTAATACTGTAGAATGTATATATCTATGTTTAAAAATTAATCAGTGTAGCACCTATTATTTAGCACTGGCCAAAAACAAAATCCAAAACTTGCAATGAGAGAGTAACATGAAAAGAAAGTCATGTGATAAACAGGGGGTGGAAAACGTCATTTGAAATAAAAGCAATAAACAACTGTAACAGAAACTGGAAAAATAAACATTTACTAAGAAGAAACAAAATGTACAATTCTATATTGTCCAGAATTCTATATTGCAGAAATCTGTCAAGTGTTGTAGAAATTCATTGCTTATATATATATTTTTGAGAATATATCTTGATTAAATTCCTGACATAGAAATGACTGAATGTTTCTTTTTCAACACCTTCTTCCTCAATGGGCAAAACAGCACTGCTTATAGACAGTGGACTGGAGGAACTCCCAAAGGGTAGAAGTTAAACATTTTTTCCAGTATTTTCAAATCTATGTGGAAAAGTCATTCAAAATGCCCAAATGAGACACTAAATTCTCTATTCCTTCCTGTGATAGAATTCTAATAAAAAAAATTCTTATCCTTTTCTTTACCTCTTTTACCTACCCTCCCTTTTCTATCTGTTTTTGCTTCTCTTTGTGTTAGGAAAAGTCATAATTGAAAAACTGAACTATTATGAAAGTTTGTTTTAAATCAGAGCCTGGGAAATAAATTAGCCCCTATTCCCACACAGTAATAATGTCAGAAAATGAGAGCTTCCAGTTATGGTGCAGGAAATTAAAGCAATGATGGCCAAAGCTTTAACAAAGTCACAGGAGACTGCATATTATTGATTTTAAGAAAAGATAGATTCCTACTATCCAGAAAATGACATCTGTCTCAAAACAAATGACTAAAACATAAAGCAAACAATTTGAGTCAGTTCAGTAATAGAAAAATTTGTTTATACCTAAAGAGGAAAAAAAATCAACATAAAACAAAAGCAAATGCAAATCAGGGATTGCAAGATAGCATATCCAACTACTTAAGAACATTATTTGAAGTAGTATATGGTCAGTCACAAATTATTATTATTCATTTTAATATCTTAGAGGGGACCTACATTAATGAAAACACAGTCTTATAAGAGGAGTAATTGCTAATAGGTTTTTTTGGGGTATGATGAAAAGATTCTAAACTTAGTCATAATGGGTGTATAACATTGTGAATGCACAAAAACTATTGAAGTGAACACCTTAACAGTGACTGTGAAGGCATGTGAATTATTTCAGTAAAGATGCTATGTTTAAAAATCATATGCTCTATCTAATCTCCTTCTTTGGAGACCAGATGCTGTTTTTGTTTGTTTTTTTCTAACCCTAATCTGTTCCACAGTTGTCACTGGGATCCACAGAATGAACTCAGATTTTACCATAATTCACAAGGGTTAGATTAAAAAATAATTATTATTAGTTACATTTAGACAAATGGTTTTAGGTAGCTTGTCAGTGTATTAACAGGAAAATTCAACAGAAATGAGATGTTATTCTTTTAATCACATTGTTGGTACCTCTGCACCAAAACATATTCTATTTTAACAATCATCCCAATTACTTTGTAGTCTGCTTCTTGGCATTCCCTCTCTTCTGGGAAGCAAGCTGCTTTACTGCCAGTATATTCAGGCTGCTGACTGCTGGTGGAAAGTCATGAAATTTGGCTTATTAACTTCTGTACAAATTGATGTTATCTAACTCATCTGTGCCTTCATTGCCTCTTGGAAATCTTCTTATTAATGTCTAATTGGCTCCTTAACACATTTTCCATAGTGCTCATTTCAAGGCTTTTCAAATCCTCTATCCTCTCAATGTGACCTCACCTATTCACTCAGTAAAAGTCAGTATTCTTTCCTACTATATGAAGTTCCTCTACTTCAAAATGTACCTTATTTGTTCTTTCCGTCTTGCTCACCTTAAAAGTGGGGTTATTTTATCACCTCAAAATTATCCTAGTCTAGTGGAAATAAATCTGCTTCTTTTTATCACATATCTGCCACAATCTAGCTCTATAGCTCTATCAACATAGGAGATATGTCTCTGTGTGTATATGTATGTGAGTATCTCTATACTGTATCTGGCCCTTAGATTTTTTTATCTGTAAAATCAATGCCTTGGACTTTGTGAGACTTTGTGAATGTGATGGCCTCTTTTAGTACTGAATCAATCTCCACCTATCTATTTGGTTCTTCTTACCCTATACATGTTTGGGACTTCACTTAAAAAAATCTTGATTACTGTGATTATTTAAACTAATATTTCTACTATTTTTCTATCAAGCTTTTTCAGTGTATAGATAATATTTGAAGACCCCACTTTCTTACTACTTACTTACCTCTTCACATATTCCAATTTGGCTTCTGCTTCCAGAAGCTAACTTATTAAAATAGTTGTTGCAAAGGATAAATGATCTTTCTTCAATGTTTATTATACTTGAATAATCTTTGATATAAAACACCACAAATGGTATTTTGAAACACTCGCTTAAAATTTTCTTCTCACTTTCTCGTGGTTTGCTTTCTACAGTTCTGATCACCTCTTCTGTTTTTATATTCCCTCCTCAAGGTACATACTAAAAGTAGGTATTTATCAGAAATACATGTTGGTCATCTTTCTAATCTTTTTCCATTGAAACTTTCATTTATCCTCAGGATGTTATAGTTATGTTGATGTGGATTCCAAAAATATTTTCCATAAGTTTCTTAATAGTATGCTGGACATCTCCACATGTCTCAGCAATTTAGTTATGCTGAAAATAAAATTCATCACTATACTCCAATACTCACCAGGAAAAACAATGGGAAAAACTTAAGTTTCTCCTGCTTCTATAGCTTTCCTTTCTGTTAATGATATAAATATGTTTCTAGTGACCATGACATATCCACAAGGAGAAATGCCAAGTGTAAGGGACTATAGTGCCTCTGCAAAGACAGATTATAATACCGCTACTTCTTCATTTGAAAAATGTCTCAATGCTCTGAAAGATATTAAAATTATAATTTCCTTATAATTATTCAAGCTTATGTTAATGTGGGCAAATTATTCATGTTTTAAAACAGCATCACTCTAAATGTCAGAAATATTTTCTCTTTTTACATTATCACTAAAGCATAATCACAAATTGAATTATCCCAATTTGCTTCACCAGTTTCTTTGTTTATTGCTGTGAGGCTACACAAAGACCTAAGCCAAGAAAATTCAAAGTGCTTATTTCAACCATATTTAAAAAGAGAAAAAGAGGAAAGAAAAACAAACTCACACTTTATCTGTTCCATAACTCCTGTAGTCTACTGCAGCGGATACAGCCACAATCAGTGCAGGCATGCCATAGCCGACCAGGTAAAAGTATTTTCTACGTGAATGTTCACTTTCAAAAACCTCCACCAGCATGATATAGAGCTGTACTCCCTCCAGAAACATCCAGGTAAAGGCAGCCAAGAAGAAGAAATGTAAAAGGGCAGCAAAAACTGCACAGGCAATCTAGGAAAAGAACAAACAATGTATCAAATAACTGCTAAATAAAATATTACCAACTGCCATAAAACTAGAATAAATATTTATCTAGACCACAGTAATAAACCAGATCTGTAAAAGGATAATCTAGACAAGTTTTTTAAAATTCAGATATTAAAACCTAATTAAATATAACTTACCTTTTAAAACTTTATTTAACACTTATTACTAATGGCCTATGGGGAACAGCATAGGATAATAAAGAAAATTAAAATATTTAGGAAAAAAATGTAATAGGAGCCTATGGTAGCTATTACTGAAATTAGTCTATAAAGGTTTTAAAGTGAAAATCAGGAATTTTTACTCTTGGTCATAATCCTGTATGTGCTCACATATGAAGTTCTTCAATTGTAATGGAGGAAAAACATTAAAATCAGAGAGGATAAAAGCTCTTAAAAGTAAATAACTAATTATAGTATTTTATGATGAGCATATTAACTTGATATTACTAATTCCTTGTTTATTTCTTCCCTATCATGTTTTAATAGAATTTAAAGTGGCATTGGGTAGTATATGATGTATAGTTATAAAAGTAGATCTGGTTAAAATAAAATGCTCAGGGGTCCTCCCTGGTGGCACAAGGAATTATGTATCAGCACTGTGAAGCAATCCGAAGCTACTGCAGAACAAGTTCGATCCCCAGCCAGGGAGGTGACTCACATGGCACAGCAGACCTCTCCTGCTTGTACACTGCTCCCCTCAGCAGTGTATTTCAGTCAATTCACCTGTTCTGCTCCCCACTCTGTCTCTGGTGAGTCCTCTCATCATCCGCCCCTCTGGCCTACACCCCAGTTCTTGTATGCATAAATAAATCTTTAAAAAATAAATTAAATGCTCAGGAAGTGCTTTTATCTCTCATATTTTGTTATTATAGTGTTGATCTAGAAATTCTTGGTTCTTTTACTGAAAATAAGCTTTTCAACTTGAGGTAATCCCAATTGTTTATTTTTGCTTTTATTTCCCTTGCCATAGGGGTCCAGTCCTGAAAACATCTTTATTGTTGATGTCATGAAATGTATTATTAATACTTTCTTTATATATGTATATCTTTAATCAATTTGGAATTTATTTTTGTACATGGAATTAGAGAGTAAGTCTTACTTTGGCATATTTTCTAAGGTATTACAAGTTTTTTTTGTCAGTTCCTGAAATTCTCATTCTTTTGGAGAGTCTTCATGTTTTTCAAAAAGTCCTAACTAAAGTCTATTGCTCCTACTAGTAAAGAGCAGTAAATTTATAAAAAAAAAATCAAATTAGTATGGATTGAATGGTAAGTATGATTCTTGAGAACTAAGACTAATGCAGGCTAATTTAATTGTGTTAGAGAGATGACAATGAAGGGGACATGAGGAAGTCAATTTAGGGGTGCAGAGAGAAAGAGAATCTAAGAGAGATGTAGACAGGAAACACCCATCTAGCTACACTTTATTTATTTATTCATTCATTCATTCATTCATTCATTCAAGCCCTGGGTACAGTCAGAAGCGCAGGAGGGTGAGAGAATTCACCAGAGCCAGAGCGGGGAGCAGAACAGGCAGACTGATAAAGAACACTGCTGAGGGGAGCAGTGGGTGCAGCAGGAGAGGTCTGCACACTATGTGGGACCCTCGCCGGCAGCCAGGGTTTGAACCAGCACAGTAGAGGCTGTGGGCAGCTTTGCAGCCCAGTGCTCAACTGTTGCGCCACCAGGGAGGCACTACACTTACTTTTAAGAGTAAAGAAAAGATGGGTTGAACTACCCTCTAAGATAAAGTTTTTCCTATCAATCATTGTTCTCCATCTTCTTGTCCAAAAATTGTTTTGTGAAGTATGCAAAATTTTGTGAAGTTTATCAAATCATATGTAGCATTAGGAAACAAAAATAAGAATGAGATTTCTAAATGGAAAAAAATCACACAGCATTTGAATTGCAGGTTAAAAGGAGAATGATGATTTCTTCTTGGAAAAACAGCAGTTTTCCATATCTTGCTTTTTAGAGTTAGAAAATCAAGTATTAATTTTTGTTATCAGAAGACTTTCCTTTTGGGGGAAAGAAATGTGCACATTGATTGCTTATTCATATGTATGCATTTATGGGAAAAGCTGTCACATTTGTATATGATAACCAATTAAAAGTATAATCACCATAATTGTACCCTTTACAGCCATTAATCATGAATGTGTAATCACAAACATGAATCCAACTGCATTTTTATTATAAAGTACTCCATACATATGGACACATAGTACAGAACAACATCAAGGGAATGAATTATTTATTATGCCTACAAGTCTTCAAAAAAATGAAAGTTTTCTTCTCATTTGCAGTTTTAGTCATGAGAACAAACTAGCAATTATGTGCATTAATCTTAAATAAATAGAAAGGGCCTCACAAAACTATAAGTGGGTATAAACTGTGTAAAGTATTTGATGCTGTCTGTTATTCATATTTTCTGTTAGGGTTTACCAAGAACACATAGCTATTGCTGTTCCTTTTCCCATTTTCTTTCCTTCCCTTCCCACCACCCTTCATTTTTTCCTTTTTGGTATGATTGATGTAGATAGTAGCAAAGAATAAAAGTAGCACTTTAAAAGATATGAAATATATCTGGGCAAACATAGTTTATATATTCTCAAAATCACATACAGTTTAAACTGTTTTTTATACTATGTCCAGGGGCTACCCTGGTGGCCCAAGGGGTTAAGCGTCAGCACTATGAAACAATCGGGAGCTACTGTAGCAGGAGTTTGTTCCCTGGACAGGGAGGTGAAAACATTGTGCAGCAGATCTCTCCTGTCTTGCCTGCTGCTCCCCTCAGCAGGGTATTTCACTCAATCCACCTATTCTGCTCCCCACTCTGTCTCTGGTGAATTCTCTCACCCACTGTACCTCTGACCTGTACCCCAGTTCTTATACGTATGCATAAATAAATAAATCTTTAAAAAATAAATAAATAAATGATGTCCATTAGAAAAATTAGCCTTGCCATTCTGTTTTTAATATTTACTCCTGTTCATAAAGTATATTATAAACATAAAAATATGTCAATTATATCTGTTAGAAAAGAAACTCCAGTTCTCAAAGATTTTACTTTCCTCAATAATAAGCTGTGATTAAAAAATTGAAAAAAAGTAGTTATTTAGAAAGCTAGTTTTTGAACAGAATTTCTGAATGTTTATTTACAAAGCCCCAACACTCACTCCTCCTTTATGACAATGGGTTACGAATAATGATAAAATTGACTATCATCTGAAAATTAGCATCTAAGAAGTAAAGATACTTGCAAACATGAATATTACCAGCACTAAACAGCTGAGAGTGGAGAAATTCTTTATTAATATCAATGTAAATTGCTTACTGGTTGATCAGTTCGGTTGATACCAATCAGAAAGAGTAGTTCTGCTACAAATAGGCTGATGCAGAGGTTCTTGTGGATGGTGTTACGGTCACTCTGGAGCCCGCGGAAAAAGCAAAATGTGAAGATGCAAATCAGGAGACAAACAAGGGACAGCAAAATTCCAACCCATGTGATCACATCCAGAAGAAGGTCATGGACCGCGTCACTGTGCTGGAAACACAACAGAAAAGTCGTAAGTTGCAATTATGTATAAGCAGTAATAAAATTTTATAAGGGTCTGAATTCATAGGGCATGATTTTAATAAAGTATTAAATATTCTTCACACACACAATAAATAGGATAGTTAATTATTGGGGTTTTTTAGTTCACAGGTAAAGTGCTTTATCTTTGCTCTGAAGTGCAAATCAGCTTGCCATTGAAGGATGTCAATACTATTTGCAGCTTCCTTAGCTATACACATTTTCAGGTTATAAATAATAGAAGGAGAGCAACTGAATTCTGGTTGGAGATTTCAAGGAAAATCCCTTTTTTTTTTTAACCTATATCTCTTTTTTAAGGCTACTTTCTCCACAACTCCTGCTAGGGAATAGTCTATTAAAAAATTAATCTATACACTTGGGCAAGTTGTGTCCCAACTGAAATATTTTCTGAATCACCTAGGACTTTGTGAAAATTATATTTCTTTATCTTATAAATCTTTATCAGAATTTTTAAGTTTGAGTTCATAAAAGCATTCATTTCATAAAGATCCCCAGTTAATTCTGATAAATAGCCACATATGGATATCATTTATTTAGTGGAAGAGCTAAAAGAATGGGGAAATTCATTAATTAATTTTATAGTGAATGACTTGGAATCAAGAAGATTGATCCATAAACAGAATCTGTTATACACATATGGAAAATAAGTTATGATAATCATTATACCCTACAGCATCATAAAATGGATTATAAAAATAAGAAAAAGTTCACGAAAACTTTAGTAATATAACTGCATGTTTTGACTTTGTTTAAGCGGGACAATGAGCTTCATACATCCTGGGTTCATTGGTCTGCCCACTAACTCAATGTGGATGAATTCAAAACTCTATTTCTGCCATGTGGTAGCTTGTCTTTACCCCAGACTACTTCCATGAAGTTTCAGATTTTACAAGTGGGTCAATTAATCAGTGTGCCAAGATGTTGGAGTAGAGTTGAAAAATTGACTGCAACTATTAATTCCTTTTGCTTTCTAAGTTTCTTGAAAAGCTCTAAAGACCTAACTTCTATCAGTAGGAGAATGAATAAATAATGGTCAAATTATAGAATGGTATTCTACAGTAGTTAAAAATCAGTGTTCTAGATTTGCAGTCATAAATATGAATAATTCTCAAAAATACCTTACACCTCTTAAAAATTCAAGTGACAAAAGAATTTGTTGTAACATTTCTGTAAAATTCTAAAAAAAGTATCAATGAAATTTTTACATAAGTAGCAAATATTTAACGTTTATGGGAAATGTCTTAGTTGATAAAAGCTATGTTTCTGATTGATACTATTTTCAACTGCGTGGCTCTTACACACTGATTTTTATTTCTGCATGGAAGTTACTCATTTAATTATCTTTACCATCAATTTGCCTTAAAAACACACAAATCCTGGGTTTCTATTTTTTATTAGTTTTTATATAAACTAAATATTTTCAAAGACTTTTCTGAATGTGAATTTTTTTTCTGACAAGTAAGCCACTATGCTATAACCTGAATCATAACACTACTCAAATTGCCAGATGTGACTTCACAGTTGTTATTGATAAAGAACTTTGCTTAGAACACTGTCAATGAAGCAGTTTCAAAATACTCCTGCATAACTCCAGATACATTTTTTGGAAGGATCTCTAATCATGAAAGAAAACCACATGAAATTTTGCTTTCACTGTTTTGTTCTCCAGGGGACAATACTAAAATAGTATTGAGTCTCTGACAGCTTAAATTACTTTTACTATTTCAGAGTGGGAGAGTGGTTAGTGCTACCTGGTTTCCTGAACAGAGGGCTATTTGCTCTCTTCTTTGATTCAAAGAAAAGATGCTGTGATTGAGTATCAAGCACCAATGTTCAGCACAGCAGTCTTCCATAATGGGAAAACGGCAGATATAACACATTCTCAAATGTACCCTAAAGACCTAAAACACTAAAAAAAAGAAAGAAAGAAAGAAAGAAAGAAAGAAAGAAAGAAAGAAAGAAAGAAAGAAAGAAAGAAAGAAAGAAAGAAAGAAAGAAAGAAAGAAGAAAGAAAGAAAGAAAGAAAGAAAGAAAGAAAGAAAGAAAGAAAGAAAGAAAGAAAGAAAGAAAGAAAGAAAGAAAGAAAGAAAGAAAGAAAGAAGCAAAAAAAACTCCTACGTTTGTCTGAGTAGGTACATTATCACAAATGTATTTACTTTCCTTAGTAGCATTGTAGGTTCTTCAAAACCCCATGTACAGTTATTAAGAGAAGAATAACAGATGTCAAAACATCAGCACAAAAAGTACATTGCACTCAAGACAAAGCAGAAAAAAAAGTGTAGTGATTATTTCACTTTTCAGATATGGCTGCATAGATCAGGAAATGTAAATAACCACCACCACCACTGAATATATTATACTGTGATAGAACTACACCTCAAATACAACCTACCACTTGAATTTTCTTGGTAAGAAGGAAAGAAAACTACATAAAATATTAGTAATAGATGTGACTATAGCCTTTTTAAAAAATAATAGTCTGCATAAATGAACTTTCTGGAGGTTAAGTCATGAAAAAAACTAAACCCCCTTCAAGAAAATGGTCAATTGAATGAAATTTTTAAATATGAGATAATGACTACTGTTTTCCTACATCTACATTCCATGTTCGTGCACTGCCTAACTCGGCTATCTATAATATTAACTATAAGTCATTATATGTCCTGAAATGTTATTAATCTTATATTTTTTATAATATTTTATATGGTATATAATTTTATAACAGGATACAGGAAAGTAAACAAAATAAATTTCAAGAGAATGAACTTCTGAATAGAAGATAGAAAGGTGTGAGAGAAAAATTTCCAGTTAAATGACAGAATGATTTATCGGAATTAACTTTCAGGAAAGTAATGAGTCTATGCTCTCTAAAAATGATTCCATTAAGACAATACTTGCTTTTCAGGATTTTATGATGTTTGCATTCACATTTCAAATGCCAAATATTTTGTAATATCCACAGAAAATTTCTAATTTTTCCTTTTGTTTTTATCTCATTGAATTTCCTTGGAATCACTATGGATAGCTTAGTAACTTAAATTCCACAAAATGGTGATTGCCAAATTGGGAACAAAAACATACCTTAAAAAAATGAAGTTTTGTGAATATCATTCTGTCAGTATGAAACTGTCCAATGGGCCGATAGCTGTATTTAATGAAACTAAATCTAAATTCATGAAATAAGGAATGTGACTTTTGCCTCATGATTTTAAAATAGCTCAATATGAGTTCACTAAGACCTTAAAAGCTCAATATGAGTTCACTAAGACCTTCACTAAAATCTTAATATTTATAATTTTATTGTCCAAAAGCAAGTCAGCAAACAAGATGGAGAAACAGATTTAAAATGTTTTTCATTTTAACTGCATTAAGTGTTTCCAGATGGGAAAGAAAGTATATGAATTAATTTTGAAGACTTCTGGATGATTTCTTCTTTTTTATATTTTTAGCAAGTTATGTTTGCCAGACATTGTTTGAATAATCACCCTATGATAATTATTAACTATGGCCCAGTAATTATCAAGAACCCATTTTACTTTCTGTGGGATAATGTATTATTTTGCAAACCTATGGGCATTCACTTTCTTAATGAATTATATAAAGCATTGTTTTAAAACATAGATTTCACTGATGTCAGTAAAGTTATGGAAGACCTATTCTCTGATAAATGAGGTATGAACTCTGTGAAATAACTTCCTAGCATTGCTCCAACTCTTGGGAACCAGGTCATCAAATGCAAAGGTCACCCCACAAATGCTTGAGAAAATAAAGGAATCAATAATCTAGGGAAATTACAATTTCCTTTGCAGAACAAGATGAAGGTCAACATTGAGTAATACAGTAAGATCAACAATATGATTTCATTTTTAGCAATTTTATAGTAAATTAACCAAAATAACCGAGCAACGATTTCAAATCTCTGCCAAATTGAAAAAAGTCAATCTAAATATTTTCCGACTTTAATTTCTAAGAGTGAACTACTGCAACAAAGAACACAAAAAGTATTCATTGCCAATTTTCCACTGGGTTCAGTAGAATTTATTCAGGAACTCTTTTTGAAGCACAGTGTATAGCACATGCTGTTATTTGAGATTTCCTTGCTTTGAATTTAAAATCTCACTGTATTGGGTGAACTAGATCTGCAACTACCATACCTAAAGAAACAGGAAAGGAAGCAGAGGAACACGTGGAAACTAAGTATCATAGAGTCATTGAGAATGAAGTGCAAGAAAAAGCTTTTTTTAAGAAAAAAATAAAGTTGTTAAACCAAAAACCAGTAGTGGTTAGGAAATTTTAAAGGAAATAAAATCATCAAGCAGTAAATAGGATTTTGGAAGAATCTGGAATGAGAATAGGAAATGAAGGTAGCTAGATAATATCATATTATCATTATTATCTCCAATTTACAAAGAATAAAACTGGCATGAGAATAAATAATTTACCCAAGATTATTCAACTAGTGTGTAGTAGAAACATGATTACTGATCTGGTGACCAACTATCTCAGTTTGTTCAGTATGTCCTAATTTTAGCACTATATTTCAGCATCAAGTGAGTCTCCTCCAAGACATCAATCACAGCCATCAGAGAGGGGTGCAAGAATTTGGAAGGAAAGTACAGAATCTATATGACAGCCAAGAAGAGGCTGGAGACAACACTATTGTTAGTTTTTAATGGAGGTAGCATTGATTATCCACCTTCCTTTGTGATTCAACTGTGTTATCCACCCAACTACTGAGGTTGGCAACCATGATTTGCTGTTCTTAGCATTGAGTCACCCCCATGGTGCCATTATTGTGAATAAGGCACTTTAAGTGTGCAACTTCAGTTGTGATCCTGAGTTCTTCTTTGATTTTGGCTTAATTGCTGTATGTTACATTGATGGTCTGCCCACTTAATTTTAAATTGTGAGCATTATGGCCATATTTTCTAATAGTTCATTGGTGAAGC